TGGCGGTTGGGCGTTCGCGGTTGGCGGCTGGTTTTGGACCAGATGCACCTCGTGATGTAAATTTGTACCGCGAGGTGTTGTATTTTACATCACGAGGAGGCCACGGTTCAATTTTTTTACATGTGGACCGTATGTTAGAGCAGCGTTTTTTGCCCCAGACGGTCCAAAAGTTAGGTATTTTTACATTTGTACCGTCTATTGAAGATGCTCTTACAAGACATTCTATATATACCTAAGAGTCATCCCCGCTAACTTATTTATCTCAAAATGCAAACATGCCACCTCACCATATAATTATGAATGGGATAAGGCACACCTCAACATTCATACATGGGAAAAGACCCACCACAACATTCAACCATGCATGAAAACATATTTTTCATTTAATTATATTTTACTTATATTCAATAAATATTTTTACAACTATACGTAATCAAATATAATAGGTTATGTATTTTTTTATTTTTGTTCTCATGTTATCAATCCAAGTTTACCATGTCAAGTTAACATTGTTTCAGTCCTAGTTAATAACAAATGTCAGACAAATTAACAATCATATGAGCCAGTGGAGGAAAGTTCATCAATGTCGAAGAAGGGCGAACTTCTTCCTTGTGTTACCTCTGTTGGCCCATGTTGCCTCAACCCACTCTAACCTCTTGTTCCTCCAAGTTTCATTAACATGTGCCTCCACGCCATGGTCGAGTCAATGATCATCATCATCCGTCACATCCTTATCTGGCAGAAGCTCATCATAACCCTTATTCTAAGATCCACTTATGGAGAATGCAATATGCAAACAAGCCTAAATTGGGTGGGGAAAGGGCGGAATGCCTTCTGATCCAGGATCTTAAATCTATTCTTCAAAGCACCAAATGCCCTCTCAACCGTGACTCTTAGGCTAGAGTGTCTGAGATTGAACGGTTCTTGTGCAGTCTTAGGATAGTTTCCAGAAGAGAACTCGCTGATATGATACTTGGTTTTCCTGAAGGATGCTAGAACACCAGGACAACATGCATATTCAACATCTACTAGGTAGAACCATTGGGGTTATTGATCGCATCAAGTCGAGCCATGCCAACAGCAAGAATGTTTAGCATCATGGGCTAATCCTTTCTAGACAACTAACACATATGTGAACTTCAAATCGAAATCAACAACAACAAGCACAATCGTGTTTGTGTAGTGCTTTCTACCCATGTATGCTACAGCTGGTGACCTCGATACTCTAGTGGTTAAATGAGTACCATCTATTGCGCCAAAGCAATCCTGCCATACCGTGAAAAACTGTTATGGCTTGCTCATAACAATAGAAGCATGTCATGACATGAACTAAAGTGCTACTCACCTTGAAATATGGATACCATCTAGGGCTTGTGTGAATCTTGGTAGGAGTTTGCCCAGTTGGTGGCTTGATCATCTCTACTCCGAGCTCCCCAATCGCACACTTCACAATGGTGTGGATGCTATCTTCTAGCAACTCCATCCGCCTAAACGTCTCCGCTAGCTTGCAAAAGGTGATCTTCGCATTAGAAGCATGTTCATAGTCTTGACACCATTGCTTTTGTAGATGTAGTTCAGATTTGCCATCCTCTCCCTATCTTGGACTAACAATGGACGTAATGGTTCACAGGCTTATCATCACGACGAACCACTCTCTTGTGTGCCACAACTATGAGTGCTACTGCTTGAGCAACCAACTTCATCCATTCGTCCTAGTGGAACTGATGTGGCGGTAAATAAGGACATAATTGACTCTGCACCCTACTTAACGATCTAATAGTGGAAGGTGGTTCTATGGTGCTTACCGCCGGTGTAGTCGACGACCTACCCATGCCAAAGACAAGGCGTGTGATACAGGGACGAAGGGGACAAGCATGTCCTGTTGCCGGAGATTCAAGTCACTGTTGCCACCGTGTTCTAAGTCGCAACCAGTGCCAAGAATTATCGCTGGATTTGTCCTACCGCTAAAGGTTAGCGAGTAAAGGGGTGGGTTGAGACATATTTCATGCCATCCTGTGCTGGCGGATTTCGGTCTCCCACCATCTCCCTTCACGACCCCTGCACTACCACGCACACTGTCCCCCTTTTGCGCTCGACTCAGCCTGGCTTGCTGGAAATGACTGATTCGATCGTTGAGCCAAACTCCAGGATGCTTTAACGTTCATGCGTGTGTAGGTCATGCTCTCGTGTACGTAATCAAAAGACTTCTCTTGCATCCAGCGGGCTTATTTGGGCTGGATGCAAGCAACCAAATGCATCCTATATATCCAACACGGACCACAATCCCAGATCAAGGTTGAGAGTGTGGTGAAGGATTATATCTGGTGGCCGACGAGGTCACAATCAATGGCTGATTGGAGGCGAGAAACCGCTTCTAGGATCGTCTCAACCAACAAGATCCGCTAGCAGTAACTTGTTCTCGGCGAACTCCATATAGTGAAATTCAGCTCCATCACCCACAATGAAACTCCAAAGTTGCACGTGATTTCTTGAGCTAGACGATTGAATTTTCTTTTGCACGTGAACCAAGCTTTTATTAATTAAGGAACAATTTTACACTCTGTTTCATAGATATTACAAAGTTCATCAGGCACAAAACCTAACCGAACCATCACGCGTTGAAATGTGCGGTTGCAATAGCTGATCTACGGATGCGCACAAAGTAGTGTTGTTAGATCCATGCATGGGTCTCTTTGTCTCCTTCACTAAGCTAGCCACCGGTGATCTGTTGATGCTACCATCGACAAGGGATTCCACTCCTTCCTTGCAGTCCAGCTCGATGATGAGGGACCTATATGTTCTTGTCGGGTGTGGGGTTCCGGCTAACCCTTAAGGTTCGAACACCGGGGTGCGCGCAAAGTCTTTCCCTCCTACTGATCTACGCTCTAGCTCGCTAAGATCTTGTGGACGAACTCGACGAACTCACAACATAGAAAGACACGGGGTTTATAATGGTTCGGGCCACCGTTGTGGTGTAATACCCTACTCCAGTGTGGTGGTGGTGGATTGCCTCACGGGCTGATGATGAACAGTACAAGGGAAGAACAGCCTCCCGAGGTTGAGGTGTTCTTGTGCTTTCGGACTTGTGTGTATCTCTAGGTCCGATCCGATCTCTCCCCTACTATGGTGGCTAGCCCTACTTATATAGGCCCTGGTCCTCTTCCCAAATATTGAGCGGGAAGGGAGCCAACAATGGCGGGCTAATTTGAAGGGGGGCAGCTAGTACAAGCTATCCTGACAAAAGGTAGTCTGTGCCTGTGAAAGGCTCTGGGGTGATGCCGTCTTGGGCTCCACGATGACCTCCGCCTTGCCGTCCGCCTGGTCTTGGTCTTGTTGCACCGAAATGACAACCTTTGCCCGAGGCCTCGGTACTCCGCGGCTGCGCTTGCC